GCAGGAGCACAGACAGGAGCAGTTCTCTCTCCTGTCTGTGCTCCTGCACTCTGAAGATGCTGGTCACAGGTGCTGGCGAAACGTTAGGAAACAAAACTTCCAGAACACGGCCACACAGCTCGGAAGACCCACACCAGTGGATTTTTTGCTTCTTTCTGAGTCTGTGGAAGCAATAGGTCAGAAAATGCTTTTTATCTGGCAGATATGTTTTGTTTTGTGTTTTTCATATTAGTAGTAATGGTGCAAGGGCTGAAGCTGGTGAGGTATGAACCGCTGATTTTTATGCCAGAGGGAGAAAGATTTTATAAATAAGGGACTAATGTCCAAGACTTCCAAGGTCAGGAAAAGAGCAGCCAAATACCTGTTAATTTGAAAATGTGGGAGGAAGATGCACAGGATTTGTACCTGCCACAGGTTTCCTATGTGCTGCTAGATACAGAACATTTTCATTTGAGATCTGTACTGGTTATTAATTGGCTTCTGGGTAGAATTCAAGGTGTTGGTTAACACCTTTAGAGCACTTCATGGTTCCAGCCCTGGATATCTGCAGGACTGCCTTCTGCCAATAACTTCTGCTTACCTGGTAACAGGGACTGCTCTTTGCAGGGGCCACAGAAGCATGACTTTCTGTGAACTGAATGGCCCCTGCCCTTGTGGCTTTTAGAAGGTTTTATCAAGATTTGGTTGTTCTAATAGGTTTGGGGGTTGAACTCGTGTATAGTCCCTCTAGCAATGAAAGGAGTTTTAATTCTGATTAATTTGATTGCAGTGTATTCATGGTCCTATATATGTAATGTTATGGATTTATATGGATTACATAGTATGTTTTTATTTTAAACTGAGTTTGCACACTCAAAGTTGGTTCTGACTGGAGTGGTTTATAAGCCAACTAAGTAAGTAAGTAAGCCAGTTAGTCATTTTAATTCTTTGCAATAAAATATTTATGTAAACTCGTGTTTGCTTGGGAAGACTATGCTGAGAGAATGACAGACTTTTATAGTTGTACCTAGCACAAAATGGGGAGTTGTACCTTGACAAATGGGGAGTTATCCAACTTTAGAGCTGATGTGGTTGATTGAATTAATTGGTCTAATCTGGGGAAATGGAACTTCTTCCTAGTTTTTTAATGTTTAATAGAGTACAATTCTCTAAAATGTAGGATAGGGTTGATGCCAAATTCTACTCAAAGGAGAGTTCCTAGTTGATTTGAGCGTATTGGACAGGAATACATGGCCAGAAATTCCAAGACAGATGCACTAAAATCTAATGTTTCCAAAAGGGTTTGGTGGTTTATTTGCCCGACCTGCTTTGTTAGGAACACACTTGTTTTTGATGTGAATTATTGGGTACTGTGTTCATTAGGTATAATTATGATACATGTAATAAGGATACTATAGCTTGAATGCTATGATATAGTAAATGAATCCTATATGGAAAATACCATCCCAAATCCTGGTAAAACCACAATTTCCAGCTGCATTTTGCTCACAGGTACATTATACCTTACTTGTAGACAACATCCAGAATACTTTATATTTAAGAAACTATTATAAATGCTCACTAACAGAATCTTTATAGATTGTAACAAATTTCTTGTTACAGAACATGTTCTTGCTCTGAAATTTTTGATACCTGTCAGTACTTAATTATTAAGTTAATGACTATATAAATGATTATTTAATCACCAAATAATATATTTCTTTGGAGGAGACCAGCATTGTAAGGCTGATATGGATATAAGGATCAGAATTTGGTTATGCCAGGTTTCTACAAATTGGAAAAGAACAATAACAAAAACCAAGGGACTTTTCAGGGGCTAGGTGCTACATGCAAACATAAAGAAGATAAGAGAGACACGCACAGGCTTACAATCTAACTGTTGTTCTACCAGGAAGAATGAGTACACATGGAAGAGGCTATGAATGTGGACTTTTTTGAAAGGGACTTCAAGCATTTGCTTTATAAGCCAACAGCCGTTTCCTTCTTTCCTATGAATATCCTATACTAGCCTTGCCTAAAGTTCAGTCTAACCAGCACCCTACTGCTGGCCATCGTGGCTAGACACTGCCAGATACTTCCAGGAAACCAACAAACAGATACTTCTAGGAAACCTACTGCCAGATAGTTCAAGGCAGCAGAGATTCTGCTGGTGGCGTACCATCAGCTGGCCTTCATTGAGAAAAGGCCTCTGAAGATTTATAATGGTGAATGGTTCTCCTGAGTTTATCTACTCTCTCCTGTGAAATCCCTTAACACTAATGTCCATTATCATACCTTGTGTTAGCAAACTGATCATTCAGCTTTTTTTCCAGTAATTTGTACCAGTATGGTGAAAGAACTGTGACTGAGAACCAGATTACTTCATTGTTATATACACAGATGTGAACAATGTTTTTATATATTCATTCACTTGGACTTTCTCCTCCATCTTTTCCTCTCCTATTTTTTCCCCCCTCTTTTTCCAGCAATGCTCCAGGCCGTAAGAGCACTGATGATTGTAGGCATTGTGCTGGGTGCTTTTGGTCTCCTGGTAGCTACTTTTTCCCTGAAATGTTTACGGATAGGCAACATGGAAGACTCTTCAAAAGCAAGCATGACTTTGGCTGCTGGAGTCATGACCATTGTGGCTGGTGAGTTAGGGTTTATATTGGGATGCCATCTATTCTTAAAAAGATGATTGGAATTGAAGGGTGGAGAACATTGTAAAAAGTTGCAAGTTTCAAGGACTGTTAGTTGACTAGATTTCCTCCCACTTCTCAATCACTAAAATTGCATACAGTTCTAATGAACTAACCTCAGCAAGCTACCTTTCTTATATTGATTCCAAACCAGTTTTTACAGCCTTAGTAATGATGCTCTGATTGGTCTTATAAGGCCCAATATCATAAGATCACATCTGAGCCACATTCTCTTATTTGAGGCTGAAGAGAACTGTGATGAAGAGGTTTTGTGTTGAAAAGGTTACTACATGCACCATCCTCCCCATTCAAGTGCAAAAATTGACCAAGCTACTATCATCTCAGACTCCATCCACTGCTAGTCCATTTCCATAGGCAGATTTCAGGGTGGGGGGTGGGGGGGTGGAGAGGATTGTTGTCTGCCTATTTCATAAAATGTCACTTACCTTGCTCATAACGATTTATTCCATTCTGTACTCATTGATCAAGCAATAAATTTCACATGGATTAACTTTTAACAGCATTAATTGAGAACATAACTGACAAATTACTCCTGCATGACGTGGTGTTACCATGAAAGAGAACTCTCCTGGATGTTCTAAGTCAATGTTTCTCAGCCTTGGCAACTTTAAGATGGGTGGACTTCGATGCTGGCTGGGGCATTCTGGGAGTCTAAGTCCACCCATCTTAAAGTTGCCAAGGCTGAGAAACACTGGCCGAAGTGCAACACAGAATCATAGAAGGTTAGGGTTGGAAGGGACCTTGAAAATCATCTAGTTCAACCGCCTGCTGAGTACAGAAATCCACTATTACAGCATCCCAAACAGATGGCCATTCAGATTCTGTTTAAATGCCCCTGCTGAAGATGAATCTATCACCTCCCACGGCAGTATGTTTCACTATTGAACAGCTCTTCTTAAGAAACAAGATGCCCTGATGTCCAGCCAAAATCTACTTCTTTTTTAATGTAAGCCCATTGTTTCTAGTCCCCACCCCCTTTTGGAACAGCTGAACAATTCTGCCCACCTTGTGCATGATGGTCCTTCAGTATGTGAAGATAGGTATAATGTCTCCTTGAATTCTTCTTAGTTGCTGTCCTCTAGACACACTCCAGTTGTCAATGTCCTTCCTAAAATGATATATCCTAGGTCCAGTCTGACCAATGCAGAATAGACAGGAATAATAACTTAATGCTTGGTTTCTGGCAAAGCTCAGGGTAATGCTACTAATGTGATTCAAGGACACCTCCATTTGCTCATATATAGTACTTCAGTGTACAGTGTACAATTAGACATCTAGCAAACCAGGCAGCTTTTCATTCACTCATGTTGTTGGATGATAAAAGACTTTCTTTGCTGGATCAGATCTACAGCTTGTCTATATTTCAGTATCGTATTCAGCAATGGATAAGCAAAAGCCCATGGGACTTCCATAAACAGACCATGAAGATAATAGGTCACTGTTCCTTCCCAGCAGTGGATGATCAGAGGTTTGGGGATAGACTACATGACTAGTAGCCATGGATATTCTTAAATTGCATGAACTTTACAATGAAGTAAACTTACCAAAAAGAAATTGTGTGAGCACATTTCCTGACAAATATAGCTTATATCTAACCTGGTGGAGGTAATAAAACAGTTGTGTGGTCATAATATTGTCCTATTTTGATTGCATAGAGTGTAAAAAAAAAAAAAAAAAAAGCTCTGACAAACTACAATTTCATTGTGCCTGAGACTAAGAATCTCTATTCTCTCTGATAGGTCTCTGTGCTATCTGTGGAGTATCTGTTTTTGCCAACATGCTTGTCACAGACTACTGGATGTCAACAGCTAATATGTACCAGCCAGGAATGATGCAGTCGCTCCAAGTAAGGTAATTTCAGCCCGCAGTGCTTAGAAGGAGAAGGTTACCACTGGTTTGCTAATATCAGCACTGAAACAGTAAGCTCGTTTTAATAATCTTTTCTCTCTCCATGTACTGGGCTGTGAGAATAACCTTGAGGAGGAAGAGCTGCAACCAGGACAACAGTCAGATAAAAGAAATCTGACTCCACAGCAGAAATATAATTTGAGAAAACATCTCAGACTTGACCAGAGTTGACCCTCCCTAGTTTTCTTGTAGATGAAGGCAGGGAGTGGGGAGGTGCTTTCAGACTTGCAAGATTCTGCTACTGTAACTCTATAATAAAAGTAGTATTGGTATTCATAATTTTGGTTTCCTAGTCTGGTCTACCTTGAAGGGCTGACACTCCCCAGGGAAGTTTGGAAGTTACAGTTCTGCAAAAGGATGTCTCAAAATGGATTCCACTCTCTCTCTCTCTCTCTCATTCTCTCTCCCTCTCCCTCTCCCTCTCTCTCAATTTGGATTTCTCAGTATGGGTCTCTAGGTGAATCTAGAGGTTATTATGAGCATAGAATCCCACAATTCTTTGATTCAAGATAAATTAAACCAGTATAAAGATAATTTACTTTGTAGACTAGTTTTCTAAATGTGACAGTTCTTTCATAATGTCAAGAATGTGTTTTCTACCACCTTTTCTGAACATCTTAGCAAATCCTTTAAAGTGTTATTAAAATAATCAAGGTTAGCAATGTAACAGAGCAACTAATATCTACAAGGATATAGAAACAGAGAATATCAACAAAATTAAATTCACCAATTCTTTATTTCAGAGTGGTAATTGTTAATAAACTGATGTAGCTCTGTTGAATTCAGAGTAAAGATTGTCTCTAAGTTAGGAAGGACAGAAGTGTTCTATTTTTTAATTATATTTTAGATGTAGCTTTAAAAACTCTTAAACATACTAGGTTTGTTGCAAAATATATTTGTTTAGTCCATGGATATGTAACTTTTTTGTGGCCAAAGGCTTTAATTAGTGGGGTAGGAATCACAGTCCAACAGATAGGACAAGGACAGATAAGGGTTTGGGTCCATGTCAAATCATAGATGTGTAATATCCCTCCCCCCCCCCCCTCCCCAAGTGAAGATCAACACCACTCCAGC